GGGGGGCCCAAATGCTCCACTCTATTTGTGGGGAGCAGCACCTGCTGGGAACCGGGCCCAGCGTCCCATATAGAGTTACACAAGTCATTTGAGATACTGGGGCCATTACCCGGCTTCGGCTGAGAATCAATCTGAAAATTATTGAAGAAATTCAAGAGATTTAAAGAGAGGTTGAAAAACTATGAATGACTACTGACCTCTTTTTGAATACTCAGAACCCGTAGACTCCCAAACAAAGCTCTCTAAAGCTATCCAACACTGTCTTATTCCCTGTCGAGCTCTCCCAGGCCTCACACTCCCACCCGGCTAGGTTACAGAGCAGCACAACTCGCCCCAGCTCCGGCCAGCGTCGTCCCAACAGCAACCCTTGGTTGTCCCTCCAAAGCATCCCCAGATCTCTCTACCAGGCCTCACACTCCTGCAGTCAGCAGGTTACAGGGCGACACCCCAGCACCGGCCAGCGTCGTTCTGGCATCGAACAGCCGCAGATCCATGAATGTACCAGTATCAAACAGCCTAAAGCGAGTTGCTAGAAGTCCCCAGAATCCTAAAGCATTCTCAGAACCACCTGTAAACAAACCTTTTTTGAAGATATCCTTGAGATACCGGGGCCATTACCCGGCTTCGGCTTTTTGTTTTTTAAACAAGAACACTGAAATTTTGTCTCCCCCAAAGCTTGGATCAAAGAAGCATTCGCAACGAAAAAAACACCTGCCTTAGGGCCTTTCAACAGCCCAACCCTTACCTGCTTCACCCCTATATCCTGATGCCCAATCTCTACCAGGCCTCATGCCCCCAATTGCTAGGTTACAAAGTAGCACGACCCACCCTAGAAACCCCCCCACCTGCTAGGCCGCAGGGCAAAGCGACCCGCCCCGGCTCCGGTCAGCATCGACTAGGCACCAACTCACCAAAAGACACTAGAGTGCCTTCCACCCTCGACAACTCCCCAGATCTCTCTACCAGGTCTCATGCCCTCCTACAACTCGAGTTACAGGGCAGCACGACCAAGCCCTAGCACCGACCAGCGTCGTTCTGGCCTCATCGTTTTGCAAACCACCGGGACTTGGGACTAAGGCAAATAGCAGTCAAGCCACCATCAGCACCATAGCTGTAGATCTCATTATCCGTCTCCTTCATGCACTGGTTGCAGATATCCCCCCAACAAACCTCAAGAACCCTACTCCGGCAAGTCTTACCACGATGAAGCCACCATCTCCACCGCTGTTGTACCCGATTACAACCCTGGAGGCTAGCCCCTTCGCCGCAGAGCGCATCATCTCCCACCATCACAGCCACGACATCCCCCTGCCTCCAGCACCAAACCTTGGAAGAATTTTTCAATTAAGAAAAAATTAGGAAAATCGGGCACAAAAAATCATGAAAAAACACATGAACATTCCAGCGCCCATTATTCCCACAGGGAGAGGGGAAGAGAGGGAAAAACAACCCTCTCTCCCCATGAAAACTCGCCCCCTCGCCTCCCCGCCCCAATTCAAAACAGCCCCCAAATACCCCGCTTGCTTCCTCAGTCACATACAGTACCCCCTAAAGTATGCCCCCGTAGAGCAGAAGATCCCCCTTCCTTCCTGCCCCACCCCCTCCAAGCGGAACAACCCTCTCAACTCTCACCCTGCTGACATCAGCACCCCTTGTCCTCTCTCCCCAACCGCCGTAGCTGATCTGACCCAAAAATCAGCATGGCCCAAAAAAGGACAAACCCTCAATATCGCCCCTACCCTCTCAAAAATCACACCACCCACCTTGTGTAACCCTCGCAGGGAGGTACTCCAACCCTAAAGGAGATATCCTTTCCAACACCTCTGACCCCGATCTCACAACAACGCAATTTGAGACACCCTTGCTAAACACAACACTGTTTGAAAAATCCCACGTCAAGTCAGAAATGCAATTTTAAAGAAGAGTCCCGGATTTCCATTTTCAAAATCAGAATACGAATTTCAGAATTTGGGAAACCGAGTTTAAGATTTTTTACGAGTCATGCAGACGAAGTTTGAATCATGAATTTATCATCGAATTCATGAAATTTGATAGGATTTGAAAATCCAAATAGGGAAACAAACTAAGGAATCGATTATGATGTCGGAAATGACTTATGACTCTGATTTCCAGAACCCCGAGGTTCAAGGAATCGCTCAGAGTAAATCAGGAAATACTAAGCAGAAAAACAAATCGACAATCAATTGTGTGTGAGAGAAACCATAACGATTCTAAGACCAGATCGCGAAATCAACAAGAAAAATCACGAACTACCGATTGAGATCAACTAAGAAATCAGAATTGTTGTCCAAGAAATTTATTAAGAAATTCCCATATCAGGAAAAAGCAAACAAGACCTAAAAAACCAAGCTCAACAAAAATAGCCCATGCCTCAAGAATCACTGGAGATTCCGTCGTTGCATGAAGTCACGTTGAAACACCTGAAGTCTCAGTTCGTGCAATCCATCATGTAGCGCTCCACTCTCACAGTCCCTTGATCCAGCTTCCCGGCCATTGTAGAGTCCAAACTCAGCCCCCTCATTGTTATTGTTGCTTTGTACTTACTTTCTAGAATCATGAATATCCCTGTACTCTGAAAGAATGCAAAGGGCCCAGCGTGACGCTTCCCGCTGGGCCCAACGAAATTCGGTGTGGCGGGGGGCGGGACTGCAGGAAGGGAATTCGGCGACGTTTCGTGGGTGGCCATTCGGTGGCGGAACTGGAGCGCATGCGTGGATTGTGCGTTTGCTCTTTTTTTTTAGCGCGAGCGCGGCGTGCGCATCGCGTGGGCCTGTGGGGAGTGTGGGGAGTGTGGTGCGTGGATATTTTTAGCGCGGGGGGGAGAGGAGGTTATCGGAGCGTTCGTCGCTTCGCATCCACGGCGGGGACAGGTTGGGATGTACATCGCGTGGGGTTGTGGGGAGTGCGGTGCGTGGTCGGTGGCGCGGCAGCGGGGTGGCAGCGGGGTGCGGATTGCGAATGCCGTGCATGGACTGTAGCGCTGGCTATGGCGGGATCTTTGTCATGTTGTTTGGCGGAGGAGGAGAGGGAGGAGGAGCAGGAGGAGGAGCGGGAGGACTAGCGGGACGAGCGGAAGGAGCGGGAGGAGCGGGAGGAGGGATGGGAAAAGGAGCGGGAAAAGGAGGAGCGGGAGCAGGTGCGGGAGAAGGAGCGGGAGGGGAAATGCGAAGGGGCGCAGGAACCACGGGAGGAGGAGCTGGAGGAGGAGGAGCGGCAGGGGAAACGGGGAGCAGGCGGGGGGGCAAACTGCGTTATCGGAGCGTTGCTTTGCGGGGATCAACG